CTTTGATATTACATATATAGGTACTACATGTCGACCTCTCTCAGATTTGTTCATTTTGTAATGATATCTTCAATTCTCTAATTTTGGTGAATATTTTTGTAATTTTTGGTAAAAAGTGATATTTTCGACTTCTTGTTGAAAACTGCAAGTCCAATTGCTTTGATATTACATATATAGGTACTACATGTGGACCTCTCTCAGATTTGTTCATTTTGTAATGATATCTTTAATTCTCTAATTTTGGTGAATATTTTTGTAATTTTTGGTAAAAAGTGATATTTTCGACTTCTTGTTGAAAACCGCAAGTCCAATTGCTTTGATATTACATATATAGGTACTACATGTGGACCTCTCTCAGATTTGTTCATTTCATAATGATATCTCTAATTTTGATGAATATTTTTGTAATTTTTGGTAAAAAGTGATATTTTCGACTTCTTGTTGAAAACCGCAAGTCCAATTGCTTTGATATATTATACATATAGGTACTACATGTGGACCTCTCTCAGATTTGTTCATTTTCTAATGATATCTTCTGTTCTTTAATTGCCATGTGCATTGCTAACAGCGGAGCTATCTCAGCCGACAGGCTGCTTGTTTTTTGGTTGATTGGAATCATTTATCCCAATGGCACAAAAAAGTACATGCATTAAATTGTCAGGAAAAAACTACAAACTCATTGCTGGGGGAAAGGTTTTCTAACTTTTTGACCCTAAAAATAGTTTGGCCTAAAATTTGGCAAAAAATTTGTTCAGCAATGAATTGGAGAATTTTTTACGACTAAATTAATGTATGTACAAATGAGAAATTTTGCATAAAGAATATTCTAAACACACGCAAAATTTTTGTTCAAAAAAATAATGTTGGTCTAGGATTTGGCAAAAAATTCATCTTTTGATCTAAAGCAATTTTTTCTTTGCTAAGTTCATGAATTTACTAAATTAAATGGATTTCATCCGCTTATATTAATAATAAAATAAACAACTCTTTCCAAACATGAAAAGATTTTGTGAAATTATTGTAAGTATCATTTCAGGTGGTTTGACTACATTATAGGAAGCACTGTCTTCATTGTTTGTCTGTTTCTCTCGTACAGGTCGTAATGTCAACTCGTTTCCATCCCAAGTTGGGAGATGGATTACTGGTAGAAGGTAGGTATTACCCATCATTCATTTTAGTGCAGTCTCATTTAAACATCAACTTTCAAACCATTTGACATTCATTTCAAGAAAAATATTTTACTTTCAGTGAAAACCTTGTTCATTAGACAGAAGCATATTTGCTATATTAGTAGCACATGCATTTACATACATTTCTGAGGTGATTTTTTAGTCAAAATTAGTAATAATTTAATGATTCAGAATACAACACGTACAACTGCTGGTTGAAATCCATGTCTATTGGAGATGCTCTTATAATAAAAAAATCTATCTGTTTTTGAGTATTATGAAAACAGAAAGTTGATTTGTGATCTTTCTCTGTATATGTGATGAAAGTGGGGCACAAGGAAACATTTTTCTTGTCGAGATGTATAAACACCTTGTATTACTCTGTGGGAGATTTCACTCTGCCTGTGGCTGTCTTACATTTCCTTTCTATACCTATTGGGGGCGCTCTACAATCTGTCTCTGGTCTTCATATGCATACTGCATGATATCAACACGTGTTCATGGATGTTTTTAATTTTCATCGTACAAACTTTGGATTATTTGTTAAATGAAATAAAACACTCAAGTATCATTTTGGTAAAAAAACAAAGGGACTCAAAATGTTCAATACAACTGATCCTCGTTCTTATGGTATGCATCAAATAGTCCGAAGGAAAACTTATTTTTATTTCTCCTGCATTACCAAGTGTAATTAGCATATCCAGTGACATTGTTAAAGTGTTTCTCAAAATTCTAAAGTTTTTTTCTCTGTAATTTTTCATTATTTTTACCTTCAGTACACCAAAACAACCAGCTATCAGTGAGGGTAGCTCTATTGCAGGGGCAG